CGATTCCTCACCTCCCCAGTCAGATTAATATATTCTACTGTGTCCTGATCATAGAGTAAAACTTAAAAAATCCCCAGGTATTTACATTCTGCTTTTTTGGGATCCTTTCTCTGATCCTCATTGCCCAGCAAGGAAGAAAGACCATTTCAGTAGTTCGGGGCTGGAATGCATGGGGCTCAATCACACAAATGGTAGAAACAGGCAAGTGGATCTGCTTGTCCAGTCAATGGAAAGCAGATTAAGATCCAGGCACTGGTATTTTTCCCCACTGGAATTAAAGGAGGCAGATAAGGTTTTTTCCTTCTTCTATTTCTTCTTGCACTTTGTCACTGGATGTGGCTATTTCAGCTTGCGCCGAGAAGACTGCGCAGATGAACGTCAGAACAGTGCCACCAATGGCTGTGTAGAAAGCCCAGCCCAAGGAGCAGTCTCCTAGTTTGTAAGCAGAAGCATAAGGTCCACAATAGCTTATTGCTTTCTGGCATCCCCAACCTGCAGGGTAAAGTATCAAGCCTAAGATAAGGAAGAGGCCTAGAAATAAAAACAGAAAGACAGAAGTTTAACATGATCAGTTGAACACCAAACGCAACACGTAGTAACGCTCATCGTGGTCACCACTCACTCCCAAGTACCAGGATTAGGAGAAGATGGCTAGTTAGTCCTCATGCATCCAACCTTCCTTTACTGATTGCTCCTTAGTATACACCATGCAGTGTTTTACCTAAACTTGGAGCTACCCTGTGGTTTTTCTTGTGAAAGGCTTATTTCATATGATAATGGCCTGGTTCCTAATTTTAATCTCTGTATTCCTTCTACATCCTTTGTTTTCACACATTATTGCTAGGTATACAGAGCTTGCAAAACATTCGAGCATCTCTACCTACTGTTTATACTTGCACTTTTCAAGTACTTAGGAATGTTTGCATCCACTTTTGAGTTTGTGTTCAGCTTTATTTAGTCATTCATCATAAACATTTTTGGCTTTTTTCCTCCGGATTTTTCCTACATTGATTTTCTTGCTTGGAAAAAAGAAAAAAAAACCCTCACACTGCATCTGCTTATTTGGCCACATTAGGACATAGTAGAAAAACAATACTGCCAGTTCAGTAAGGTGCTTTTGTAATGAAGGGATTCTGGAGTCGGCGCCAAACAAACGGATCTAAGTACCCATGTCCAGTGCATAGGTAGCACTGGGATCCTCTAAACAGGCGATTGGCTGCTGCAGAAGGAAAGCACATTTCTAGTGATGCACGAGCAAAAGCCTCAACTCCCCATCTTGCTAAACTGCCCGAACACCCGGCTGTGCCTCAGACTGGAAGTAAAAAGCTCAGATTAGATGTTTTGCCCATCTGATTGTCTCTTGTGTATTCATAGTTTCCTCTCCTATGAGGACCAGTCTTTATCTAAGCAGTGAAGGGCTTCATTAAGGAAATTAAAAGTCACATTAGGAGTCCCTGCACACATGATGTGTCTTTGCACAAAGATGAGAAATTTAATCAAAATGCCTAATATGCCAGTGGGTACAGTGCTCTCTTACAGGCCCTGCTAAAAAAATTAAGAGTTAAAAACAGATCTCCCTCCTACAAGGTACACAGGAAGGAGCTAAACATCAGGACAACTCACAGGTATCAAAATTAGTTTTCTGTTCTCTTTAAAATTTTACTCAGAAGAACAGGAAGAATTATGAAAAACAGTTTTTGCTTAAACACAACCAGTGTATCCAGAAAATGAATACAGCCTGCCAGATCCCCTAAATATTACCGATTCATTTGTCCTGCACTGTAAAGCCTTTTATTCAACCTGGCACCTTGACGAAAATAGCTGGTAAAGGTGCTGTCACCTTCTAGAAGTGGGCTGAAAGTTGTGCTTTTTATGTACGGTGCTGGTTCATCCATTAGATTTCATCTAATCCCAAAATTTCTACCAAGTAATAAAATAGAAAGGAGTCCTCTTTTCTTCCCTGTACTAAGAGATTACCAAGAACTGCTGTAAAGACTTGTTTGCATTTTCTTCAATTCAGTTAGACTAGCCTATTCTGCAGTACGTTATGTTTCCTTGTTTCTTTGAAGAAATTCAGCTAGATGCAAGAAAACTTGCTCACTGAGACAGAAAGGCTGGGTGCTAGCTAGTAAGCAGTTAATAAACACACAATGCAAAAACCATCATCCAACTGTCTAAAATTCATGTCTATGAATGCTGGACATTTCACAAAAGAAATTCCTTCCTCCAGCGTTTTTCTAATGATGACACAACACCATGGGCATGAATGAACTAAATGTCATTATTCTTTGGGGCGGCAAAATCCATTAGCGAGTGATATCCGTTCTCTGTGAAGGGATTTCATCACTGCTTACATTTAAGAACCAATGACAAATTTTATGCAGTGTTTCCTGGCTGATTGGCCAAACTACATTAAGTATAAATTATTGCTTTATCTTGGACAGACCTGGGTAAGCTGTGCTTTCATACTGCTGAGCCCTGCAGCCGTTTCAGACTAAACACCAGCAGTTCCTTCTCCTCTATTCATCACTAGTTTCCTGTTCTGCGTAACTGGCATGACTGCACTATGTATTTTTCTGACTGTACATTGGTATGGGCCAGTTGCCATTTTCTCTAATGATCACAAGCCCTTCGGTAGTTAAAAATCACCATCACCAAATCAAGAAGCCAGATCTGAAATGCCAATGTAGCTGCTGCCAACAAGGAAGTTTTTAAAGTTTACCACTCCATCACTCACAAACCTAGAAAGCCTATGTTTAACAGCAAACCTGGCTTATGGCTGAGTCACAAGCAGGACTAAGCAGCTACATCCATCTCTTTTTACCAAAACTGGAACACTGAACAACTCCTGAAAGCTACTGGTTCATGGTATGTATGCCCCAAGCTGAAAAGGCATTACCCACAACGCAGTCCCCCAAAAGCCTGCAGCACTGCTGTCAAATGCAGTCATCAGGACTTTAGTGAATTAAAATTTTTTTTTAAGTGTACAGAAAATTCCTGGAGAAATACTACAGCCCATAATTGGAGAAACTACATCTGTTTTCTAGAAAATTTGGAGAAAAGTCTTCACTATGGACTTGAATACGGTCAGAGTCTCACCTGATTTTTCTTTCAGATTTCTAACTTTGTGACCCCTATGCTGGCCTAGCACAATAAAAGAGAAAAAAAAAGTAATGTTTTCACTACTGAACCTACCTTCTACTACTCCGTTTCAGAGCAGACAGAAAGTTGCTCAGGACACGCAGCTCTTCTCACTATCACTAACGTTTATCATCATTTCTCATTTCATTAATACCGGGTTCCTACTTGCTAGGAAAAGTGAATAAAGATGATTCAATTAAGCCAATTCAACATACCCGCAACAGAAGCGGCACTGCTTGGATTTCATGCTGACTAACAGCAAGTGGAGAGGCACAGACTCCTCATCATGTATTCAGCTCAAAGCTCCAATACCTGGAGCAATGGCTGAGCTGCGCAGGGTGCAGAGATCCCTTCCTGCCTCTCCCCACCTGCCCAAAAAGGGGTGCTCAAGTAAAAAGATCAAGAGGAGCTTTGCCTCCTGCTTCCAGTAACTACAAAAGAGACGGTCACAGGCTACAGAGCTCATCTCAATGACTCCCGCAGCTTAAACAAAATAGAAGATGGTTTACTACCCACCAACAGAGCAAACCATGGGCTAAAGCAGAAGCCAGCAATCTAAAGCACTAACCTGTCCAACTACCTGTAACCAGAGCAGCAGCCTCCAGAGACCCCCAAAAAAGAACCACCTCTCTGCTCCTGGGAACATGGACGCAGAGGGAGGGGAAAGGAAAATGCTCATGTGGAAAGAACAAGGTAAGATACAGCAGGGGTAGCAAGGGCAGGAGAGATTGTGATGCTGCTTGGAAAGTCATGGTCTGCTTTTAAACAGGCGAAATGGTTAAATGCAATACGAATAGCTCAGCGTTCTCTCTGCTCTTCCACCTTTGACCTAAGGAGCACTGCACAACCATTTTATGCAACACGAAAAAGCCAGAGGGCTGTTTCTACAGCTAACAGCATAGCCTTGATCTACATCTAACACAGGTGCAAGCAGCTGCAGTTGAGCAAAAACCACTTACAGGCCAGTCTGTGGCAAGACGATCCGTGAGGGGGAAAACCACGGTAAATTCTCAGCACTGACTTCTCATACCAGTGTCCACAGGGCAGAGCCTGGCCAGGTCCCTTACATATCTTTGCTTCTTTGATAGAAGTTCAAGCTTAACTGCCTATATCCCTGCCTTTCTGTAGCTGCTGCTTGGTCCCTGGGGCTCACCTGCCTCCAGCTCTCTTGTTTTGGTTATTTCTTTGCATTACCAGAGAGCCTGGCAGCTCTGCTCACAGCTTCTGCCTCCAATAGCTGACAATCTGCTTTTCAGACAAGACACACGGAGATGTGAGAGACCCAAGAGATGGAGCGCAAGGCACAAATGAGATAACCCCGAACAGCATACTGGCAATAACTTCATCAAATCCATAGCCTGCCGGTTACTAAGTGTTTCTCTTACAGCCTCTGCAACAAGACAACCTTAAGAAAAATGCTGAAGGAAGAGAAATGGGTTTTCAGTTGCTTGTGGACAGCACAAAGCAGCATGGGGGCGTGTGGTTTTGTTTTCTGAAGAGTCCCTGGGGGGAAGGCGGAGGAGGGCACTAGATGGGCTGCACTGAGCCAGGAGCAAAGTATCTTGCCACTGAATGAAACATGGCGGAGAGCACGGCCTGGAGCTTACAAAGGCCTGGAAAGGGGAGCCAAGCGCCTTATCCCTGGCATTCATTTATACTCACAGCACACAGGAACACAACACCAGCTCCTAGTACAATCTACAGATTTGTGTATAAAAGTTGCCCTCTGGATTGATTAACTATTATAATTCTCAGGTTTCTTGAATTTGATTCAGTTATTCTTACACTTGACTCATTCAAATATTACTTCTGTATTTAATCTGTATTGTGAGGCTTTCTATGCCATTTAATGCCATACATTAAGATTAAAGCACTTAAGCTTTTGTTAGCCATAGAAGTACAAAGCTCAGTTTTGTGTTGTATAATTTTATGTCAGCATAACCTGATAAAGCAACAATTATCTCCTGTCAACAGTCCGCCCTGAGACGTATCTGGCAGGAGGACAGTAAATATTAATGATAGATTTCTTTTTCTTAATAAATCAGTTTTTGCTCTTGTCCCAGTGTCTTTGAAGAGAAGCCAATCTTCCAGAGAAAGAACAGAGAACAAAAATCGAGTGCTCTGTCTGAAGAAAATTTTTCTACAATGAATCCTTTCAGTTCTTCGTGCTGACATACAGTAAATGAGAGTTTTAATTCACAACCAATCTACCTGTGGAATTATTGCTGTTTGTTCCCCCTGCTGGGAGGAACAAATTCATTTTGAAAACATTACAAGCTGTTTTACACTGTGCTCCTCTACAGGCTCGCAGAGCTCAGGCTTGCTCTATTCTAGATTTAACCCCCTCTCTGAGCACAGCTGCACTGCTGGGAGTGCAGCTTCTGCTGTAC